TGCTATTTAACGGGGGCGGGCAGTATTATGGTTGCATGGTGCCTTATCGTGACCGGGTCAGCCGGGCCGGGGCGTCAAACAGGATCGCGGCCTTGGACGCAGCGCTGCGTGCATCGCCTGCGATCAGTTCCTTATTCATGTGACTTCCCTCTCAGCGATAAGACGCAAGACGCGCACCCGGACGCCAGCCGTGTTGCAACGCGCCCCGCCGCCGCGCCGCCCCGCCCACCAGGACTCGGGTCAGCCACCCCCCGCGTGCAGCCCAACGCCATGACCCTCCCGATGGCGATCCCCCGCCGCCGCCGCTGCCTCGCAGCGCGGGGACAATATCACAAGCTGGCTGCTGCCGCGGTGGCGGCTATGTTTAGCCGGCTGGCCGCTGTCCGCGCGGGCGGGGTCCACCGGGACCCCGCGCCCAGCCCACAAACACCGCGGGCCTGGTCCATACTCGCCAGCCTCCGGACGCAGCCCTCTGCTGTTGGCATGGAAGCGGGGGCCGACAGAGCCGCCGCGGCAACGCACCCCCGGGGCCCGCCAGAACAAAGAGCAACAACCGAGGTCCAGGACTCTGCGAACTTGTCCGAGACACCCTTACTGCGCATAGGGCAACAACGAGGTCCACGACTCGGCGCGGCGAGGGTGTCTCAGAGGCAACAGCGGAGAGGTCCACGACTTGGCGCGGCGAGGGTGTCTCAGAGGTGGCGTTCTGACGGGCGGGTAGCCAGGGCGCGGCACCTGGACGCGAGAGAGGGAGACGGACGGCGCACGTGCGGTGGTGTTCGGTAGCAATCGCGGCCGCGGGCTGGGCTGGGGGGGAATACAGACCAGATCGCACCGGCCAGCTGTCCAAAACAAAACGCTGCCAGAAGCGTTTAACTTCGCACCCACAGGGTCTACGAGTACTAGGATCGTCAATCCACAGCGTGTTTCCGACGCAACCACACAACGTCCGAATCGTCTTATTTGCTTATTTTGACATTGCCAAGGGGATTACATTCACCCCGCCCGGCCCACCAGTAGAGTGTTGGCGCGAGCTTTTATGTTATTTTATTACATTTCTCGGCGGTCGCTGCCGCGCGGGAGCTGCGCCGCGAACAGGGGGAGGAGGGCAGGGCGGGGGCCCTTGAGAAGCACGCCCCAGTCATGCCAAGCCCTGCGCGGCCCGTATCGCCAACAGCGACCCTGCCCTTGGCGCGCCGAGGAGCACCTGTCCCAATCCACACCGGCGGGCAGCCCGAGCCCGCCCAACCCGCCCCGACCACAGGACCACGGAGTGGCAACCAGATAAGCGAAAACAGCTGATCATTCTCTCACAGTTCGGCCGACAATAAGACCCGGGCATGCACGTCCAGGAAGGGGGTAAGGGAGCTGGTCTAGGCTTGGGGCGATGCGATGCGCAAAGGCAGCCGCACGGGCAGCCGCTTTTAGAGCCAGTACAGTAGCGAGCAAAGCGAGCACCTCAGGACTCGCCTTGCGACATCTGCACGCATGGCGTCGTCCCCTGCAACGCCTGCCTGCACAGCGCGCCCGCCAGAGGCAGAAGGGGCCGCGCTAGAGAAGTTAGCACGGGGTGACGTTTGGAAAGAAAATTCGAGGTGGTCGGCTTTCAAACCTACGAGAACAGAATTTGAGAAATGATACGACCGACCGCCGGATTCAAGTTAGTGCCCCTGCGCCTTAGCAGCAGCAGCACCCCGCTACCAACCGGGGGTGTCAACACAAACAGCAAGTGCCAACGTCGAAGCAACCTGTCGTGCGACAAGGTCGACCTGACTTGGACCCCCGGTTCAGCTAGCAAGCGGAGCAAAGCTTGCTCTGCATAGACACGAAGTTTGGCCCGATTTCAGCCAAGCGAGACTAGATTTCCGGGGTCACGCGGGTGGGACAAGCCCCCGATATCGATGAAATGCACCGAGGAAAAGCGGGGGAAGAGGGGGGGGGGGCTTTGACGCCGGGAGGAAAGGGGAGGTGTCCGATGGCAAGATCCCAAAAAACTGGGACGATGGGGTCAAAACTAAAGACGCTCTTCAAAGCGGCTTCAAAAGGGATAAAATAAACTGAGGGATAACAAACGCGCCAGAGATATTCATTATTTATTCCGTAATACTTAAGCGTGAGTAA